ACGGCGAATACCGGCTGGTCCTATCAACTGCAGAGAGCACGCCATGGCGTTGTGCCTCTCGCAGTTTGATTGGCCCTTCGGCTCATAACATCGGCCGCGCTCGGACCGAAGCTGAAACGAACTGTAGCTTGGACAAGTGCCTTGCGATGTTGCACTGACGTAGACATTAAGAGCTAGACGGGTTAAGAACTAAAAAATAAACCTAAAGGTGTGTGTTTACGGCCCACAGTCAGCCATATTTGTACATGCAAAACGAAATATCAACATACTGTAAAATTAAAACAGACTGTAAAAAAAATCTCTCTCTCTCTCTCTCTCTATATATATATATATATTAATTGATACGCAGAGCGAAGTACTTCCTAGAAAATATATGATTTCAGATAAGCAAGAGTAAATCCTGTTTACGTTTGAAACATGTACGTTTCCATAGAATAGAAAATAACTGACCTTCACTGATGCCAGTATTACAAATAATCAAGTTAATAATCATATTATCGGCCGCGCACCAAAAATTTAACTGTGTTTGGAGATTTATGTTTGTCCTTTGTCCCCTTGTTCCTCTTCTCCAGGATATGTTATTGTCATCCTCGTGCATTTCGCTTGCACCTTTCCATTAATTACATTATAATCAAAAGTAATTAACTACTGCTTTCTGAGAGGCCGACATTTTGTTTCTACTGTACTCCAGAGAAGAACTATTACCTACATTTATTGTCAAAGCCGGCTTATCGGCTAGAATAACCCACACCGGATTTCGTGTTTCTTTTAATAAAACGGCTGTCTCTCTCTCTTTCTCTATCTCTATCTTTTCGTCTTAAAGCGCGAGAACAAGGACTGGTAACTATTTTTCCAAGTCTCGGGTTTTTCACAGTGTTTAATGCCTGCATTTTCAAGACCTAGCAGTACTGAATAAAAAAAGGTTAAAAAGCGCTAACAAGCGGGGACAATGAAGAAGCACGGACGAGAGGACAGGCGCTTCACTCTCAATTGTTTGTTTATTGTCACCATCGTCACCTATATATACAAACATTTCCCAAACCACATCGGACTCAACCGCCACAACCAAAGGCAACCGTCCAGAAACACCATTTCACTCTGAAGCAGAATACAGAGACAAGGCGGTGACGCAATTGCTTCTTCTTTTTTTTTTTTTTTTGTGTGTGTGTGTGTGTGTAAAGTGCCTCTCTAATCTCACTTTCCGTTTTGTCTTTTGCCTTTCTTAAACACTTCGTAAAAATTAGGTCCTTTACACGCACATCGCCTAGTATGATGAGCAAAATGGTCCCCCGCGTTGTTGTGCACACACAGATTATGCTCTCTTGCTCTATCATTGAAGCAGCGCCCAGTCTGCCCAATCACGGCCGGACTGGAAGTGCGCGCTCTCTTTCTCTTCTTACGGCCTTTGCAATCGCCCGGGAGTCAATGGCATTTTTTCTCCGTATGTAGTTCACTTGCTTGCCGCCAGGAGCTTAACCACCTCACCCCACTTCACCCCACTCGGAGAGTCCCTTCGAGCTGCTTTGCGCTGGTGTTCGAGCTTCGTAGGTTGTTGTTTTGGCAACGGTTCCTCAGAATACTTCTGATTAACCATGCAAAGACGGTCACGGACAAAAACGAAGAATCAGCTGGAAATGTGCACAAGCCCTCAAGGAAGCACTTTAGGCTATAATATGCACTGTGCGAAAATTATACGGACTATACACCCTCGTCTAGAGCAGCTGACCGACTTCATGTGCGGCCTACGAAACGATGATGCAGACCACGGCAATATATAGATTGGGCCTGCTTACATTTCACGAGAGTGTACGAATTATTTATCATTTAAAGTTCCTCCACGTAGAAGGGGTCCGTCTCCTTCTGTTCTTGAGTTGCAACAGAAGTCCTGGAAGTAAAGACGAGTATAGTTTTTCCGCAATTGCATTCGCTGTCTCTACTTACCACTTTTTACTCCCGAATCTGTCGGAGGTGTGCGTCACATATTCACCGTTATGGGCCCATCAGAAGCGCATTAGATAATGGCTGAAGGTCTAAACGTAAGGATCAGGTGTCAAAGGCTATAAAAATCTCGGCCGCAAGTTGCGACAGCTCTGAGATACACTGTCAGACGCGCTCTGTGCAAACGGCAAAGGGTAGCCCAGGGGTGAGGTGACAGCGCTTCCGCGAATTGCGGTGGGAGGTGGCGATTGCCCCAGTTGCAAAAGCCGTAAGAAGAGAAGAAGAGCGCGCGCTTCCAGTCCGGCCGTGGTCCAATGTAGACTCTGTCACAACTAAACGGAATCGCGTACACCACGTTGGTGACACACGCCATATATTGCGCACCACGTGTTTCTTGGAACACGGTGTTTTTTTTTTTCGGCCTTGTCAACATCGGACAGATCCTAGCAAATTTATAGCCGGTGCCGAAAAGACAACGTTAATATCGTATCTGCCAGCTACCTTTTTTTTAGATTATGAGACAAGGAATGCATGCACACAAAGGTGAAAAGGAGCGGGATACCCCCTAAAACCTAATCTCTAACTGTTGCGAGAGCCTTCTTCAAAAGCTAAAATGAAGAAAAAAAGGCAGCGAGGCAAGTAAAGAAGGGAAACGAGTACACGTCATTCCCTACATGCATACCGTGTCTCATAATCTAAGAAAATGTACCTGTCACATACGACATTACTGTGGTCTTTTCGGCATTGTGTAAACGTGCTAGGATCTGTCCGATGTTGACAAGGCAGAAAAAAAGCACTGTGTTCCAAGAAACGCGCGCTGCGATATACCACGTGTGTCACCAGCCTGGTGTACAAGACCGTTTAGTTGCGGCAGAGTCTGCATTGGGCAGACTGGGCGCTGCTTCATGATAGAGCACGGATTGTGTGTATATATATGTGACCAGTTGAAAAACCAGTTGAGAGCGATGCGCCTATCCTGTCGTCCGTGTTTCTTCACTGTCCCCGTTTGTTCGCGCTTTTTAATCTTTTATACAGCAATGGACCAACTAGTCCAAACCCAAGTTTTAATGCTAGCAATGTCCTTCAAAGTGATCTCTTGCGGCAACAGGACTCGATGACCTGAGTACAGCCAGTCATGCACAGCTGAGATCTTCCGCTTCCTGTCGTAAAATTGGTGCAGATCCATGTTCTAGCTTTTACTACCACTACCATTGTTTTAGGAGAGTAGACGCCACAGCAACTCTCAGGGTTGTTTTATTTCTTCTCTTTATTTTAAATGGATTAATTTTGTCTATGGGAATACAATGGTTTTTATGCTTTACCCGTCACTCAGAAAATCACAAAAGCTAAAAGAATGCTTATTCTTTTTTTTATGTGTGCGAACTTAGTGATAATAAACTTTTCAGTTGTTAGTCAGCGCTCGTCCTGTCCAGTTCCTTCCCCTGGTTCTTTAAAATTTGCGCTGTTCCATTATGAATACATACCAACTCGCCCAGCTATCCTGTTTACTAAACTTAGTGAAGCAATTAACTCAGTCGAGTAACTGACTTACTATACTCAGTGGAGTAATTAACTTACTCTACACAGTGAAGTGATTCACTTAACAGCATATCAATGCAGTAAAATGAGTTAGCCTACCTAAAAACAATAGAACTTCCGCTACCGCATTCCCGCAAAACTCGGCAGAGAAAAATAAGTCAACGCTCGCGTGAGCCAATTCGACCGATGCACACGACAGCTCTCCCCATGTGGAGTGCATTCCGGCAAAACGTTGTCACGCGCATAATTCCTTCTCCCTATACACCCCGAGCGGCTCACCGAAACCGTAGCCCTCTACCGATGTGTCTTGGCTCGTCATCGCTGTAATTAGTTCCCCAAGCTAACCAAATATTTTTATGCGAGAAAAGAATAGTCGTGCTACTCTGGAGTTTCCTCGGTCCAGGTCCTGCAGTGTTGGTTAAAAAAAGAAAAGTAAAATAAATATAACAAAAGCCGGGGAAAATACACACGAAGTCGAGTAACCCCGTCGTCCTCGGCGCAAAGAAAAAAAACCCAGAAAAACCGGCCAGATTTGTTCTCCGCGTCTCGCGAGCCGGCACACACAAACAGAAAGAAGCAAGAAACTTTCCATTCCTAATCCCCCAACCACCACAGTAGTTTTAACAAAAGGTGCTATCAGACCCCGAACCATCCGTGACCCCTTCGCCGGAGGGACACACGACGGCTGTGCCTACTCAAGGTCACCAGGAACACAGCCGCGCCCCAAGGCAGCCAGGAGGGGAGGCCATCGCACTGCAGTAGACCCAACTACTCATCCCCCCCACCCTCTTCGAAAACTCTGCACTTTTCAAGAGCATGCAAGCAGGTCTACACCGATTGCCCCGCTGGCACGTGCGCGAGCGCACGTCCAGCGCCATCCTTTCCATCTTGAAGAGACACCCTACTGAATCTGGGACAGGACCCTACCCTCTCGTCGCTCGCCCTCGCCTTATTTGCACAAGGCGAACAAGAGCCAAAGTAAGACGGAAGAGGGAGAGGGGATAGAAGGGGGAGGGGAGGGGGGCCAGCAAACCAGAAAGAAGCGGGTGGCTCTGCCGCGGGGAAGAGAAGGACCCGGCCGAAAAATCCTCGTCGACGTTTATCTCGCCGGTTTTTCGGCTTCGCCCAGCGGGTAGATGCTGTTCTGTTTTCGCTCAGCCGTCTGAAGTAGTGGGAGCCGGTGGCCCTTCTTCCCGCCGCCGAAGTTTCGTCGCCGGCTTCTCTCCTGGTTTCTCGGTCAAGTTCGGCAAGAACGCTTCAGAGAGCAAGACGCCGGCTCCCCGTGCTCTGTTGGCTTCACCGTGCAACGACACCTCCCCGCCACGGTTACCCCAATGTGTCACGCGTGCCTCTCGGCCTTCCGAAAACTCGGCGGCGACGTCCGCAATGACCGCCTTGAGTGAGTGGTGACAACGAAGGTTCGATTCCGCCGCCTGTACTCGATTGGTCCGTGTGTTTCGTGTGAATTGGCGAGTGGCTGGGGCGAGCGTCGTCGCATTTTGGGCGAACGTAGCGGCGGTGCCATGGCGATTGCCTTGGATATTCCCTTCATCCCGGCCATCATCCCGTTCACGGCGTTCCTGTTTGTGCGGTTCGGGGAGAGGGTGGTACCCTTTCAGAGCGAGCATCTGAGGAAAGAGTACGACTACGTGATCGGTACGTACGCTTGTCTCTTCCATCCATCTCGAAGTCTTGATGTATAGCTAACAATCTCAAGGCAATTGTGAATGGTTGATCTGTCTGAAAAGTTTTTCACGCAGCTTCATCGAACAATAGTGATATGGTAACCGTACTTCTGTAACCGTATGGCACAGTCAGAACGGCTCTGCTGAGCTAGACTCGATCTGTTTTAGACGAACGAGTTGAGAACTTTAATGCTCGTAGTTTCGATGGTATGTTTGAACTTACGGGTTGAAATATACGATTTAAATTATTTTTATGGGCATCTAGTGGTTCCGATTCATGGTGGTGTCACAGTTACAAACGTGTCGAGCTACTTGAATGGTATACCATCATTGTTTGATTTCGCTTATGAAGGACGTTAGAATTACTGATTGCAGCATCTTCCGTATTATTAGTAGCGAAGGCTAGCAAACTAGCAATACAGAGTTTAATGAAGCAACTAGCCTCTTTAGCTTTATAGCTACGTTCGACACAGAGGCTTTAAATTTTGCTGAAAGATCCAGCTCCCGGGCATTTGTACAGGAGAGGCTTGTTCTAAATCTAAAGCAAGAATCACGTTATTTTTGTAGTCCATAGTTTTTGGCCTCAGTTAAGGTGAATGAAACTATAGCCATGACAGTGTTGCTCATTGTTCATTATGGTTCCTGAAGATCATTCATGAAGTTTCTTATTTGTCTGAGGGTGCTGTGGACGAGTAACTTCGACGGGGTTTCTTCTATTAACAAGAAGATAACCGAATTTTAGTCTGGTTACGGTGTCTTCATTTTTCCTCATTGCGTATTTGGAAGTACGTACCGTACTTCAATATGTTTCTCCCTCCAACATCACTAGACCCCCTTCGCAATGAACATGCCAGTTGTTAGAATCTCTGAATGCTTTGCACAATCACAGGGGAGGGGCGCAAGGCGGACTACGCACGAAAGCCTAAAGACGACAGGTTGGGCTAGTTGCTCGCACATTCCTGGGGTAAAACGCCTACAGGCAGGGACAGAAGAGATCAGATGCTCTGAGGACAACTGCTTGCACCTATTTTCCTCTATCTTTTTTTCTTAGGCGCTTTGCTTCGAGAAAAAAAAAACAATACGTTGAAGTTAGTAGACTTTCTGGGGCTTTCTTTAATGTTAGTCGTGCTTTTTCAGTCTGCTATCGTGCATAAACCTCATTGTTTCGAACAACATGGGCTTCAGCTGCAAAATGAGTCTACAGAAAGCCCCCCATCTAGGCTCGTGGTCCTTAATTCCTAACGCGGAGAGAAAGTCGTCTGCCTCTTGCGCAGGAGTTGCAGTGGCGTCAGGGCAACGCCGAGCTCTGATTGGCTATGATTGAAAGGATAAAGTGGGTAGAGCTCAATGCTAGATGCCTTGAGGTCTATACCCACTATTCTTTTTCTGTCAGCCAATAAGAGCTTGGCGTTCTGACATCATCGCAACCCCTGTACAAGTAGCAGACGAACTTGCACTCTGCATTAAGAACCTCTTTTCTCGGCGTGTCTTCGTGGCTCTTATAGCTGTTCAGAGCTACGAAGATGTGGTTCGAGACTTTTTCAGCGGCAATGCACGCAGTGTCGCCTAATTATAACCACGTTCCTGGTGTTATCCCTTAACGGTATGCCTCAGTGGTCTTGTTTTAGGTTGCGACACACTTTATTGTGCCAGGTGAACTCTAAGAATTCCGGAGCCTGTCCTTTCTTACACAGGGCTTGGGAGAGTCGATTGTGGCAATCTATACGGAGAGAGGTCGGTGACACACGAGGCTCAAAGTATTTTACGAGCTAAAAAAGAACAAAAATGAGTCAGCGCCGAAAGACTGAGCATGTCATAAGCACGCGAAATGTTACGGTCCCTGTCATAGGGTAGACTGTTTTTTCTTAGGTCTAAAGTTAAGCTTATTTTTAGTTTCGTCAATGGTCGAAGCTTATTACGCAGTTTGCAGTGATTGGTTCTTCCAAGTGCTTTGCAATAATGTAGACGCACCGGATCCCTCTTGGCGTAAAGATATCACGCGATTACAAAAAAAAAAAAAAATAAAGAAAGAGTTTATTATAATCTACAATACAAGCAAAACACTGACCCAAGATGAGAACTTCAGCTCTGAACGCTCTCTTGAGGCCCCCTCTGGAGCAAGTAAGAAAAAAAGGAACAACCTGCCACAAATTGGCTTCACGTCGCCAGCCTAAATACAGACGTGCTCTCAACTAGACATCCCATATAGTGTAGGGTCTTTCGTTTTCAGGTAAAACCCGATATTTACACCCGCAATATGTTTCTTGAAAATTCAAGTTACACCTAAATTTTCCCAGAATTCGGAAGCTGAATTCTAGCATCTTCCTACAGTAGGTGACAGGTCAAGAACAAAATGTAAGCCCCTCCCACTTCTTTTCACCTTAGCAGAGCGATTGCTGGAGAGGTGACGACCTTTTCTCCAGCATTCGCTGTCTTAAAGTGCAAAGAGGTGGGAGGGGCGTCCACTTCGTTCTTGGTCTGTCACCAACTGTAATTACGTTGTTCCGGAAATATTTTCTAGAAAACAAAGAGTAGGTAGGGACACGTGCGCTGGCTCCGGACCTGAGAAATAATCCTAATAGATTCGTTAGGATACAGTGAACTTTAGTGATATTGATTGATCCCTCAAATGTTTCCCTTATGTCCATTGTGTGACATTCTTTGCCCTTCTTTTTTTTTTACCCTTCGCAAAACAAAAAGAGAAAACAAAATGTGAGATAGGACGAAATGTTAGGCTAGGTGGCGCAAGCTGCCGCCCGTTACAAAGCGTATAGCCATTACCATCCATCCATTCACATTACGCATGTCATATGTCCGTAAGCTGTAATGCTGAGAAAACGTCCTCTATACTGTTCCGCAAGGGCGCTGCCATCTTGAATTGAGGTCACTTCCAGTATGGGCGAAAACATTGTTTTGCCGTCGCTACGCCAATAGAAGGCATTTAGGATATAAGCGTAACCGTCACACATTCTCGTCTTGCCTCCCCTCTATTTTTTTACTAATTACAGTTTGAAACGTTTTAGTATTTTTTCGTCGCCCATACCGGATACGCCTGTTCGGTGGCTGGGTGCGAACGTACACGGAATAGGTCAATATGTTGGAAAAGCGGACATGTCTAGAATGGACACAGATGCTGCGCATGCAAAATATTATGTAGGCCACAAGGATTTGTGAAAACTGTAGGTAATAGGTCATGTCAGCTCTTACCATGTTTCAGCGCTATCTTGTATATGGTACGTAAACAAAATAATTTTTGCATTCAAGTCGATTAATTGTTAATTATACTTTTACATTTCTAAATAGGACCCGAACTTCACAATAATTAATGTAAAAATCTGATTTCTTTCCGATTACCATCTTGGATAAAAGAGCCCGATTTTTACCCCTTGATTTTTGAGAAACACAAAACGGGAAAAGGAAGCGCCCTATTTCATATCCACGAAATGGTTCTCTATGCCAATATAGCAGTAGAGTCTAAGGCTCTCGCTAAGCACAACTCATTGAGTCGTCACGAGGTGCCTGACGTATTTTGGGAGCGCGGGACGCAGAATGAACGCGCCCCACTGAAACAAGGTGAAAAGTTCAAATTGCGTTTCTTGAGTGCGCTCGACTTCCTCCGGTAATGAACGATTTCTCACCAATGCTCCCGCCCCGGCCGAAAACGCGGAAGTCCTACACTTGCCACCACTCTTGGAGAGGAGGAGAAACAAGGCAATGTTCACGTTGCTTGGGGACGATGTAATTAACTAGAGCGGACAGTTGCTAGTGCGCTCCGTTTGACTGAACGGTAATTAGTCGGCAGAGCGCGGGTTCTGGAACCATAGCTTTTTTTCTTCTTATCTTTCAATTCTATCTGGATTGGATGGTTCCGGTCTGCGAAGCGCTGACGTGCACGGAGTGTTCAATTGAGCCGTACCCGAACAAATGAGCCACCAAACTCGTCAGCTTTTTGCTCCCTCGTTGAAGCCGGAAACAAGAGAGTAAAGTCGAGTATTTGAACGACCCTGTACCTCGGTTCTGTCATCGTTTATCGGGGAACTTGTTGGTGAGTTTTGTCTTCATTCCGGCCCAGCTGCATTTTTTTAATTCTTTATTGGTCTTACTTTATTTATTTTTTTCTGCTCTAGCGTGATAAGTGTATTTTCGTTGGAGAACTTTTTTTTTATACTGGACATAAAACTTTTTCTTTTAATCAAATGGAAATAAGCTGTTGTTTACTGTATTAGGAAATGCGTTATGTGAACGCATATTGTTGGTATGAACCTAGCGGCTTCATTTCTGGTTTTAAAAAATGAAAGACGTTTACAAATCTCTGTAATGCGAAATTAGAGCACAGATTTTGACGAGGAGGAGGGGAGGGTATGCCCTCCTCCTTTTCCATACCCTCCTCTCGCCACCTCCTCCAATTCAGTCTCCCCGTTAAATTTAGCGGGTAAAATGACGGCATATGATTTTGTGTCACGTCAACCTATGAACGAATTTAGTTTCTCCGCTGGATTTAGCGGAAAAATTGACGTAACGTGATCTCAAGACCAATTGTATTCCCGCTGAAAAATTGATTTTGTCCGCTAAATCTAGCCGAGAAACTGAATTTCCCCGCTAAATTTAGCGGGGCATTGAATTGGTGTGGAGTGTAAGTAACGTCAATTTTCCCGCTAAATTTAGCGCGGTTACGCCGACGCCGCGAAACACGGAATCGCCTAAGAGCTGCGCTCTAAAATTTGAATTGCCCTTTATACCAAATAGCAGGTAATATCGAAAGGAAGTCGTCCAAGAGTCCAGATGACAAATCAAAGTACCCGGCATTCTGGGTGAATAAAACGATGAGGCGACCAATATCAATAGACCGTGCAACTGTACGCCTAACAAAGGCATATCCGTCGAACATACGTATGAGGTGCTCCTTAAGAGCCCATTTCGTAGACTCGCCATTTTCCGGCGTTCGACGCAATTGAAGCAGACAAACGAACG